CATATCAGTGTTCTGAATGTGATAAAGCTTTTACACAGAAGTCAATCTTATCACACACCAGAGGATTCACACTGGAGAGAAGTCATATCAGTGTTCTGAATGTGATAAAGCTTTTACACAGAAGTCAAATCTTATCAGACACCAGAGGATTCACACTGGACTGGAGAGAAGCCATATCAGTGTTCTGAATGTGATAAAGCTTTTACTCAGAAGTCAAATCTTATCACACACCAGAGGATTCACACTGGAGAGAAGTCATATCAGTGTTCTGTGAAAAGTTTTACACATAAAAATCTTTTAGAGAAGTCATATCAGTGTTCTGAAGTGATAAAGCTTTTACACAGAAGTCATCTCTATCACACACCAGAGGATTCACACTGGAGAGAAGTCCATATCAGTGTTCTGAATGTGATAAAGCTTTTACAGTGAAGTCACATCTTATCACACACCAGAGGATTTCACACTGGAGAGAAGTCATATCAGTGTTCTGAATGTGATAAAGCTTTTACACAGAAAGTCACATCTTATCACACACCAGAGGATTCACACTGGAGAGAAGCCATTTTAATGCTCTCAATGTGACAAAACTTTTTCAGTTAATGCCGGTCTAATCTATCACCGGAGGATTCACAAATTTCTGCATTGATTAAATTCTGGAAATAAAAGGGATATTAAAGAAGTTTCAGGTGTCACAAGTTTAGTTTCACATCCCCAATGTCATCCCACAAGCTAGAGAAGAAGGGAAAAGATAAAATGCTACTTTAAAAAAAAACAAACTAAAATCTGTGCAAACTGGAATGTAATGATTGGATGAACTGAGTTTAGTGCTTATGTCCATCAATACACAACTAGAAGGGATTTGAATATTTTATCTTTTGACAATTTTTTAAGATAAGCATCAATAACTGAACAGCTTCCCTCATGATTCTCATCTTTATCTTTTTTTATGGAGCTTTGAATGAACATGCAATGCATTTTCATGATTCACCAACTGAGTTGTGTTTCCAAGCATTTTCTTCATTTCTGGATCCTGAGGTAATACATGACCAACACTGCCTCAGTACCAGAGACTAGGATGGGGTCTATTGTCATCTTACCAAGTCTCTGAAGCCTCAGTGGGAGAGTCCATTCCAGGTTCTTCTGACTATTGATACATCATCAGCCAGGCTTGAGGTCTCCAGCTAAGCCCACCTTGTCCACTCCTCCCCCATTACCTGTTCCATCTCCTCTCCCATTATCAATGCCTTCTTTCCACATTTCATCTCTCATTAATATTATTATTATTATTATATATATTATACAGGATTTATATGGCGCCAACAGTTTGCTCAGCGCTTTACAATATAACGGGAGACAATACAGCAACATACAGTTTAATACAAGAGGGATAGGAGGGCCCTGCTCCTCGGAGCTTACAATCTAGGAGGGAGGAGCTAGTGGTACAAAAGGTAGTAACTGTGGGGGATGGACTGGTAGGAAGAGTAGAAGATTCCATTATTAGCTGAGGGCAGGATAGGCTTCCCTGAAGAGAGAGGTTTTCAGAGATCGCCTAAAAGTGAGCAGAGTAGGCAATAGTCTGATAAATTGGGGTAGAGAGTTCCAGAGGATGGGGGAAGCTCTGGAAACGAGCATGGGGGGAGGAGACAAGGGAGCAAGAGAGCAGGGGATCGTGCGAGAAACACAGAGGACGGTTTGGGTGATATTTGGAGACAAGATTGGTGATGTAATTTGGGGGGCAGAGTTATAAATGGCTTTATATGTTATTGTTAATGTTTTGAATTTTATTCATTGGGCAACGTGAAGCCAGTGAAGGGATTGGCAGAGAGGGGTGGAGGACACTGAGTGGAGGAGGCAGTGGAGGGATTGGCAGAGGAGGGGTGGCAGAGGAGGCAGTGGAGGGATTGGGAGAGAGAGGGAGGCCAGGGAGGATGGAGAGGGGTGGAGAACACTGAATGGAGGCCAGTGGAGGGATTGGTGGAGGACACTGAATGGAGGCCAGTGGAGGGATTGACAGAGAGGGGTGGAGGGATTGGCAGATAGGGGTGTCTGATACAGAACGGTAAGTAAGGTGGATGATGGCAGCAGCATTCATGATAGACTGAAGAGGGGATAGCCTGCAATGAGGTCGGCCAATGAGGAGGGAGTTACAATAGTCAAGGCGAGATATAACAAGGGAGTGAATAAGTTGCTTAGTGGTAGTGCCCGAGGTTAAGAACGGCCGTATCTTGGAGATGTTGCGGAGGTGAAGTCTACAAGATTTGGACAGTGATTGGATTTGGGACTGAAAGGACAGATGGGAGTCTAGGATTACACCTAGCACCCTGGCATGAGGGGAGGGACTGATGATTGTGTTATTGATCTTGATGGAGAAGTCAGGGAAGGGGGCACAGGCTGGGGGGAATACTAAGAGCTCAGTTTTGGAAAGATTGAGTTTGAGGAAGTGAAGTGGAGTGACATCCATGCCGATATGTCGCTTAGTAGGGTAGTAATGCGAGAGGAGACTGAAGGGGTGAGGTGAGGAGGAGGAAAAGATGATTTGTTGTGTGTCATCAGGATAGAGATGGTACTTAAAGCCATGGGTGTTTATCAAGTGACCAAGGGAGGAGGTGTAGATGGAGAAGAGTAGGGGTCCAAGGACAGAACCTTGAGGAACCCCTACAGAAAGAGGGAGTGGAGAGGAGGAGAAGAGTTAAAGGTATTGCTGAAGGAGCACTGTGATAGGTAGGAGGAGAACCAGGAGAGAGCGGAGTCTTGGAGGCCAAGAGAGTGGAGTTTTTTGAGGAGGAGGGGATGGTCAACCGTATCAAAAGCTGCAGAGAGGTCATGTAGTAAGAGTAAGGAGCAGTGGCCATTGGTTGGGATGAGTACGGAGTAGTGGCCATTGGTTGGGATGAGTACGGAGTAGTGGCCATTGTTGTGGGAGTAGTATTGGTTGGAGTAGTAGTGGCCATTGGTTAGGGATGAGTACGGAGTAGTGGCCATTGGTTGGGAGAGTAAGGAGTAGGCCATTGGTTGGGATGAGTATGGAGTAGTGGCCATTGGTTTGGGATGAGTACGGAGTAGTGGCCATTGGTTTAGCAGGTAGTAGATCATTAGTGAGTTTTAGTAGGGCAGTTTCAGTGGAGTGTAGTGAGTGAAAGCCAGACTGTAAAGGGTCAAGAAGGTTGTTGTGAGGTGAGGAGCTCAGGCGATTGTAGACTAAGCGTTCTAAGAGTTTAAAGGTAAACAGAGCAGGGGGATGGGTCTTAAGTTGTTCAGGTTGGTGGGGTCCAGGGAGGGCTTTTTAAGTATGGGAGTGATGTGCGCATGCTTTAGAGGGGAGGGGGGAAGGCACCAGTAGAGATGGAAAGATTGAAGATGTGAGGGAGCATAGGATGGAAGAAGAGGTGACCATAGTAGTTGTGAGGGGACAGGATCCAGGGGGCAGGTGGTGAGACGGGCTTCTGAGAAACCTTGTTTGGCAGCATGGAGGGAGGAATTGTATGTTAAGAAAGCAGATTTATATCGGGTGAATGCTTGGTGAGATTTGGTTTTACGCCACATTCGCTCCAGCACACGACTATGTCATTTAAGATCTCTGGTGTTGTCAGTCTGCCAAGGTTGTAATGGTCGGGGCCTGATGCTTCGTGTTGTTAGAGGAGCAAGTGAGTCTAATGTGGATGAAAGTGAACTGTTGTAGACAGCAGTGGCCAGGTCAGGGCAGGACAGGGGAGAGATTCTGTCATAGAGTTGGTCAGTTGCAGAGTGGAAAGGAGAAGGGTTCAAGTTGTGAAGGTTTCTGCAGGTGATCTGATTGGAGGGATAAGTGTTTGAAGATGAGGAGACTGTGAAGGTGATGAGATTGTGATCATAGAGAGGAAAGGGGGTGTTTGTGAGGTTGTAGGATATCATCTCATGGGTGACAACCTTTCAGGCAGGTCTGTGGCTCTGTGACACCAGCTAGAAAGAAGTCTCTGTTCAGTGAGAAAACAACATCCCAAGCTGATGCAGGCCTTCCAATACTGAGTTACTGCTGATTTAGGGGATGTATTCAGCAGTAAAACGTAAGCCCAGCTGGCCACTTGTGTTCCATGTGGTTCTGCCAAATGGGATTCCATCAGGTGAAGATCAGAAATCCTTGTTCCATGTTTTCTCTTTCCAGCTATTACTCCTCTCCATAGACTAATCACACAATACAACTGCCAGAGATCTGAACTTACAAAGTGCTGAGTGTGCGGTCATATTCCTACCACTTCTTCCGGGGGACTGACATTCCTCTGATTGGGGTTCACAATAATCACTCTGAGTGCACACATCTCTTTTTGGTGGAAAGTTTGTAAAGAAAACTTCTTCTCCCTGGAAATATTACAACGTTGGCACCAAAGTGTAACTATGGGCAAAATCACTAATGACATTAATAATGAAATCTGTCATTAGCAGAGCAGGTTTTGCTTTTCCGAGTCTCCTATTGTTTTATTTTTTTGTTGTCCCTCCCAGTAGATTTTTTTTTTTTACTTCCTGTAGAAGGCCAAGTCTTTTGGGAAAAATGGCAGTTGGAGGGGTTGGGGCAAATCCTATAACACTGCTGGGGGTGCTCACAACTGTCAGTTGTCATTCATATGGGGGGTTGGACCTTATAGAGAACCTGTTGCTGTAACTGCTGTAGAAGCGTTAGCTGAAGTTGGGCTTTACTTGTTGTGTGTCTTACTTATAATCTATCTAAGACTTCCCTGTACAGGGTGACAACGCTGCTGTGTAATGTTCCTGCAGAATGATCAGGGTTGTCACCCTGTTACAGAAGGTGGGAAAATAACAGATCTACAGACAGGACCAACAGCTGATACAACTATGTTGCAGAGGGAACTCTGGGAATGCTAATGACAGATTGCATTACACATTCAGTTAGCAGACTTCCTGCTGTTGGTCTGATGTTTGAATTGTGTTCTGATATTTACTGTCCTGCTGTAAAAGGTGTAAATGATCGCCCGCATGTTTCCTGTAGTAGCAGGGACTACAAACTCATATCAGGAATAGTAGGATGATAAAATGTAAGTTAATAGATAGGGCCGCGCCCCTACAATAAGGTATATCTATATAAATTATATATTAGATTGTTATTAATAAACACTGGCTGGATTTTATCATGAATAATTCACATATGAAAAAATAAGAGAAATCCTTATAAAGTACAGCAAAAAGATTTTCTGGATATATATGTGTGAATTTTTTTTTTTAAATAAGAAATGAATAATAAATATGAATAATAGAAAAATATATAAAAAAAAAAAAAATAAAAAAAAAAAAATATAAAATGAAATATAATCACAAAATTTTGAAAATGAAAAGATGAAAAAAGAATGTAAAAATGAAATGGTGTCCAAAGTCTATGAATAATAGCGGAGTATTCTATTCGTGTCCACAATAGTAATTGCTGTATATAAGGAACTGTAGAAATAAATCCTTGCTTGAATATTGACCCTTTTATGGGCTCACCTTCTTGTTAGCCTATTGCTGGGCTGACACAGCTTTTAAGAGGTTTGTATTGATGAGATCCTTTGGACCTCCCCTGGGTTTTCCTGGATTGGTCAC